TGAGTGAATGAATGGCGGGGTATTCAAATGCATGAGTAGATGGAATGGATATGTGGGTGGGTGGGTGGATGGATTTGATGTGTGGGTAGATGAATGGATGGATGGACTAATGGGTGAGTAAATATGTATGGACATTTAGATGAATGTTTGCATGGGCAGTTAGGCATATGGAGGAATGGTAAGTGGATGCATGAGGGACTGGCTGGGTGGGTGGATAGATGGATAGCTATAAACATATGGAAGGGAGACTAAACAGGTAAGTGGGTGGACATATGGATATATGCATGAATGGAAGCTTGGAGAGATTCTTGTTTGTTGAGTTGGAGAGGTATATGGATAGATGAATGGAAGATAGGTTGAAGAATAGTTCATGGATGGATGGATATGTGAGTATATGAGAGGATGGTTATATGTATGTGTAGGTGAATGGAAAATTGGTAAATGGGTGGGTGAATGGGTAAATGGACCTTGGCTCATGAGATTTTACACTGATTAAAAGATGTAACCTTAAAAAAAATACACAAAGCAAAAGGCTCCTGAAGGATGAGTATAGAGGAAGCTATTCATAATTACCACTCCATAGTTCTTTATATAGTCCCAGATATCTCTACATTTCTCCTCTCTTTCTAACAGTTTGAAACCATTTGGTGTTCTTGATCACCCTAATTTATCAACACTCAAGGACTCAACAAATTGGAACATTTTGTACACCTGTTTCCATAACATGTATAGAAACACATATAGGACAGGGCATATGTTCTTAATTTGTCTGTGAATAATATTTAAATTTAAGTCTGAGACTTGTGAACTGCTGAGCCTTGGTGCAAATTATGTCACTGTTTCCCAGCAACTGAGTAATCCTTAAGTCTGGGTTCCAGAACCCTGAAAAATGGTTCTGCTTCTGTTGCTTTTGCTTTTTCCCCAGGGAAGAAGCATGTTGGCCACAGTCCACCTGGTTTAGGATGCCGTGGAAGGAGTCTAAGTCTGCTAGTAAATCCTAGTTGTTCTAACTTGGGGATGACCCCTTTTCAACTCTGAATCCTATGAATTTTGTTTTAGTTTATTTTTCCACTTGTGGTGCTGGAGCTAATGCAGGACCTCATGCACATTTAGCAAGTGATCTACCGCGGAGCCACACTCCTAGCCAAAGACTAACTCACAAGTGTACTCATTTCACACGGAAGGTCATCACTCTTAAACTTCTGACCACCATGCTGTTGGTCCGCATATGGTTCTAGAGGTTTCAGAGTTGAAAGGAAACTAAAATGCATTTCACTGATCCTAGCTCCCTCCATTCATGAAATTCATAATATTAACCCTGAAATGTCAACTACTCATATTTCCCTATGATCTTCTGAGACCCAGAAATCACAGCATGAGCAGCAGAGCAGAGAATGCCTCCAGATTAGCTCACCATACTCCAGTCTTTATGCAATGTGCTCTCTTACACTCTGAGCCTAGCGGCCTCTTCCGAAATAGTCAGAAGAGTTGTACCTTAAGTGCTGGAGGGGGAAAGAGTTAACAGACACACTGAAGAACTTAGTGTTTGTTTTCTTATTGTCTTCACCACAGTAAACTTATAATGCAGTCAGGATCTGTTTTAGAAGCACCTAGTGTTACCATAACTGCAGCTGCATACATAGGAAAACAGAAATGGTGTGCATGCACCAGGCATGTCAGTGTATGGATCCTCCTTCTTATGTCCTCTCCTATTTTCTTCTTTAGGAAACTGCTCAAAGACCTCATGAAAGTGGGACTCACGGCTTCCTTGATCGGGCTCAGCATTCAGTAAGTGCAACCTTTTGCAGCATTCCTGTGTAAATGCATCTATTTCTCAGATCTTCTCTCTAGCAGACTCTCTTCTGCATGCCCCGTACTTCCCACAGAAACTTAATGGGTGCCTGATCTGTGTTTGGCATTGACCTGTTGGATTCAGAGTTAAGAAGGGACCTTGCTATGTAGAGCCTCCCACCAGCTCTGCCTACTACCCCTCCAGTGAACTTGGGGCAAGGTATGAATGCCAGTGGGTCAGCCCACTGGTGGGAACTGAAGATTCCCGTAAAGTGCTCCTAGCTTTCTTCTGTTTCTTATGTTCTGCTCAGGAGGGGAGAATGTGTGGCTTTTTTCTGGTCAAATGACCATGCAGGATAGAAAGAAAACTCAGCACACAGATCTGCTAATGACTATGTAACTCCAGAAAGTTACATACAAAAACAGTTCAAAAACAACTGTTCTTTTCAAGCCAAAACATTGGACTGTGATATCCAGAACAACTGTAGAAGAAAAATCTCTGAGATACAGGGGAGTGTTTGAGATATTTCGTTTACTTTTACATGGCAATTATTTCCTGCCGCCCGTTGCCCATAAGAACTTAGTTTTGGTGAAACTACCAGTATTTTTTTCCATCCCCGGTTTTTAAAATATTCTCTAACATCAGAGGCTAGGACCCCATGAAGTCTGACTTGGGTTCTTCTCTGCAATATTTCTGCAGGAGGAAAGCATGTTTTAGGAATAAAAATGTTATCATTTAAGAAAAACATCAAAGTTTCAGAAGGGTGACTTAAGGAATTATTTCTTTCTCTAGATATGGCCTCCCTCACAGGCTTTGCACTTACATAGCATATCCTGCTTCTGAGAGCAGCAGGGGCTCCTGTGGTCAGTGAAACATCACTCCATGTCAAAGGGAGCAGGTGGGGTAGGATGTCAGGAAACTATACCAACGAAGAGCTAGGTGATTGTGGGGACATTTTTTCCTGGGTGATTTTGCCTGGCTGCTCTTTTTGCTGTGGAATTTACATATGTAAGTGGAGAGGAGGGGGAGAGGGAAAAGGAAGAGGAGGCAAAGAAGGAAGAAGCAAACCACTGACAGTGTTAGCCCTGTACTCACTCTATCAGAATGTCTGTGTCACCCTGATCAGCTAAAATGTGTATCATGCAGGGGATTAGAGCCAGGCTTTTGTTTCTAATCATAGAGAAACTTCCATCTCTATTCCCTAGCTGCCACATCTATCTTGTTATGCCTTTGAAGTTTGCCTTTCAGTATTTCCTAAAAACTGTGAGAGGTTTTATAAGTAAAAACAGGTGGGAGCTATTTGGTATTTAGTCTGTTCAAAGCTATGGAGTATAACGTTAAACATGTCCGTTACTTTATCTTCTTTTCCAAGTAGTGTTTTTCTCCTGTTCCCTTCAGTGTGGTTGGGACAGCAACTAAGAGATAAGGAAACAAAGGGTACAGGATGGAATTTGAGAAGAAACATGACCATCCCTGCTTCTGCCTACAGAACGTGATGAAAATTGCTGCCACTCAGCCATTTCATGTTCAGGCCTTGTGCTGTGGCTATAGGTCTAGGGAAGGCTGAGGTCCCTGAGATAATGAGTGCAGGAGTGTATTGGGGCTCACATTAATACATCTGTGGAGATGGTATTTTTTTCTACAGATGCAGTTTGATGAGGGAAATGAAGTATTAACTTGCTCTTCTGTACCAGATACTAGCAAGTAGAGATGATAATTTTTAAAAATTGAAAAAGGATAAGACAGAAAACTATCTCATTGTGGACAGACTCTGAGGACTGGCACCTCATTGCTGGTCTTCTAGGTTGCTTTCCTTGAGACTAGAGCATCCGTTGCAATAGAAACTTCCATCCATTTCCAAGGCCAGGAAATCACTTGATTAAAAAGGAGAGTTGAGTTCTGGGTGGTTGTTTAGTTGGGAAAGAAGATCTTGCTTTGGTTCACACGCAGATGTTTCGGAGCATCATGGCAAGAATGGCATGATGGCCAGAGAGTAAAGTAGCTCCGTGTCTTGAATCCACAGTCAGGAAGCAGAGAATTAATAAATGTCTAGTGCTCCACTTTCTGTTTCTGTACAGTTGGGATCCTGCCCCATGGAATGGTGTCACCCACATTTAGGGTGGCTTTTCACACATTAATCAATCTGATCTGGAAACTTTCTCACACACAGGACCCCAGAGTTTTATCTCCACAGTGATTCTAGGTCCTCTTGAGTTTGAAGTTAGTATTGACCATCATACCTTCGAAGCAGGTACACTGGCATTCAGAGTAGTTCATGTTCCTGCACCCTGGGGAGCTCTTGTGGTTTTTCTCTGCTAACATGGGATCCAGAGCTGGCTAAGAAACTGCCCAGGTAACTTCTGGAATCTTGCCAGAAACTGTCTTTATGGCTTGGATCTGTAAGCCTGACAAGCATACACACGTTGACATGAATCCCAGACGTGATGTTGCCATTGGCTTCAGAAATAATTTCTGTTTCTTTCTTCCATCATGTGGCCATCCATTGCCACTTAACTTTTCTCAGGACTCCCTTGGCATTTGAGCCCTTTGAAATTGACTGGCCAATGTGCATGGCTTACAGTCCTTGTTCCTATGAGCCAATGTTTATTTCATGGCTTTTCACATCCCTGGGTGACGTGTTTGCTAAACAAAATGTCATAGGAAATGCGTGTTAGCAGGCTTATTGGTTGAACTTAGGCCTCAAAGCAATTTCCTACAACTTGTAAATTTAATGTCTAACAGAAGGCATCCTTGACCTCTTCCACCTGTCAGATAACACTTTTCGTGCATGCTGTGTCACAGTTATTAATCCATGAATTAATTAACAAGGAAAATATATTTTACTGTTTCCTTCTCTTGATTGTCAACTTGATTGGTTGGAAAAGAATACAGGCTTCTAATGCACGCTTCTGGGTGTGTCCTGGAGGGTTCTTCCTGAGATTAACTAAGGGAGGAGACCCACCTCAATGCAGGTGGCACCCTCCTCAGGCTGGGATCCAGACAGAATAGAACAGAAAAAAAGAAAAGTCTATTAGCTCTCTCCCTCCTCCCTTCTTTTACTCTTCTCTTCTCTCTGTGTGTGTGTCTCTGTGTCTCTCTCTCCTTCTATCATGAAAGCTGTTCTGCCCCACCATATATACTGCACCATAATGGACTGACACATCTGAAATAGTTAGCAAAACTATTTACTCCCTCTTTGTTGTTTTTCTCTAGATTCTGTCACAGCAACAAGAGAGTGACTAACACATTCAGTCTGTCACTTCTGGCTCCAAGTAATAGTTGAAGCCAAATCAAACTATATTCATTCACCCAAGATCTTCCCTTTCTTCCCAGGTACTTTGCTCTCGTGCTTCAGTAATGAACATTGTCTCATTCTTAGTCCTGAATCCAGGAAATGAGGGAACCTTTGCTCAGAGATCCTTATGAGCTTCCTTTGAAAGCTTTATATTGTCATATTGCTTAAGCAGTCTAAGTCACCTGTCTGAGAAGTCTTTCTGGGTATTTTCTGAGCCTATAGTCACCTTTTGCTGGATCCCATTAAACAGACTGTAGCACCCTTTAAAAAATTTATTCTTCAGTTGAGGGGCATCTGGGCTGTTTCCAGCTTCTGACTATTATGAATAAAGCTGCTACAAACATGGTTGAGCAACTGTCCTTATTGTGTACTTGAGCCTCCTTTGGATATATGCATAGGAGTGGTATGGCTGGGTCTTGAGGAAACATTATTCATAGTTGTCTGAAAAAGCACCAGATTGATTTCCAGAGTGGTTATGAATGGATGCAGAAATTGTGGTACATCTACACAATGGAATATTATCAGCAATGAAAAATAAGGAAATCATGAAATTTGCAGGTAAATGGTGGGACCTGGAAAGGATCATCCTGAGTGAGCTGTCCCAGAAGCAAAAAGACACACATGGTATATACTCACTCATATAGACATGTAATATAGGATAAACCCACTAAAATCTGTACATCTAAAGAAACTAAGCAAGAGAGAGGACCCTGACTAAAATGTTCAATCCCCATCCCAAAAGGCAAAATGGAAGGACATCAGAGGAGGAAGAAAACAGGAAACAGGCTGGGAACCTGCCACAGAGGGTCTCTAAAAGGCTCTGCCCTGCAAACTATCAAAGCAGACACTGAGACTCATGGCCAACTGTTGGGCAGTGTGCATGGAATCTTATGTAAGAAGTGGGAAATAGTAAGATCTGGAGAGGACAGGAACTCCACAAGGAGAGCAACAGAACCACAAATTTGAACACAGGGGTCTTTCCAGAGACTCATACTCCAACCAAGTACCATGCAATGAAGATAACCTAGAACCCCTGGACAGATGTAGCCCATGGCAATTTAGTATCCCAGTGGATTTTATAGTAATGGGAAGAGGGACTGCCTCTGACATAATCTGATTGGCCTGCTCTTTGATCACCTCCCCCTGAGTGGGGAGCAGCCTTACCAGGCCACAGAAGACAACAATGGAGCCACTCCTGATGAGATCTGATAGACTAAGATCAGAAGGAAGGAGAGGAGGACCTCCCCTATCAGTGGACTTGGGGAGGGGCATGTGTGAAGAAGGGGGAAGGAGGGTGGGTTTGGGAGGGGAGGAGGGAGTGGCTTATGGGGGGATACAAAGTGAATAAAGTGTAATTAATAAATAAAAAAAGAAAAAATAAGCTAAAAAAAAACCCCATATGCCTTACCAGGCCACACAGGAAGACAATGCAGAAGGTCCTGATGAGACCTGATAAGCTAGGGTCAGAGAGAAGGGGAGGAGGACCTCCCCTATCAGTGGAAGAGGGCCATAGTGGGAGGGAGGATGGGATCAAGAGGAGACAAGGGAGAAAGCTACAGCTGAGATACAAATGTAATAAACTATAATAATTAAAAAATAAAAATTATTAAAAATTCATCAATACTCAAAAAGAAAATTTATATTGGTTTCTTAGTGGCTCTACTCCCTTTCAACCATCATTACCCCCCCCCCAACCATAGG